ACTCCGGGATTTATCAGGAGAGCCCTCGTTCCTATGACGTCAACGCAACTGGAGATAGGGATCAGAGACCGCCTAGTCGGAAGAATGGTGCTCTCGTTCGGAATCACCACATGTATTATCCAACGGATCTAATGTTTTTTTTTATATTTCAAGTTTATTTACTACTGAATTTCTCCAGTATATTGACTCCACTTTAAAAAGGCCACCGAGATAACCGAAACGTCAATAAATATTTCAGGTCAACATCTGTGGTTTCATTTGGCTGTCAGTCTGTCAGTGACACATGAAGAAAAGTCTATTGATTCGACGAGAGCTAGCGCCACATGTCGCCGTCATCGGATCTGAAAACGGCCAAAATGTGAAATTTGCAAGAAGAATCAGCTTATTTCTAGAGAATTTTGGAGTGCTATCTGCTTTAGCTCATCATAATATGTAAATAAATCTTATTTGAAGCAAGTCCTTTTTACAAGTTTTGACCGATTTACAGGGTATCCGGCTATAAATTGACCCTCTCTATCTTTTTTACAGGAACTTCTAAAGAAAATACTTTATATAAAAGTTAGAGGGTCTATTATAAAGTTTCTCATGTAATATTTTTTGTATACCAGATGAATCAGACGAAAGCTATCAAAGAAAGTTGTATTTTTTTTAATAGGATTAATAGGGTATTTTCAGTGAGAATGATAGTGCCTTTTCCTCCTGGTTCCAAATATATATGGTTTGTTGAACTTATTTTTATTACTTTAGTCATAAACTTGAAGTTTGAGAGAACTATATGCATTCTGGCATGGCTATTATGTCAAAAACCTATAAAACGTCAAAAAAACAACGAAATGTCATCTTGCAGACTAGGTAGTTTTTAGGGTGCAAATAGTTCATTCCACGTTTGCTCGCTATGATCGCTGTGAGCGTCCATCTATGGAGAAATGACTCATCCACACGCATTGTTGCTCTCAGCAAGTAAGTATATGTTTTGTGAAGCCGAGTAGTCCGTAATTTTTGTCTCTGAGAACATCTTAAAAAAAGAACGTTGGTTGAGTAGAAAGATTGCATCTGGATGATTATGTGTATTGATCTGCATATGTATAAAGTCAGTGATACTTGCTATGTAAGAAAATTATGACTAAATATGTTGCCAATGAAGTATATCTATTTATTAGCTGTGCCCGACGGGTTATTTATATGTATTTCTTTCTTAAGTCAGGATATGTTCAAAGTTATAAATTACAATTTTTCCCGTTTTTTTTTTTGTGTTTTCAGAAACTTTGGTCCAGATAATCGCCTCGGGGCCCGCGTTGTGTGCAATTAAGCCACATTACAGAAAAATTAGAAATAACGCATTACGCTTCAAACATTTTCGCACTTCCTCACATCTAGGGGCTGATTTGTATTTTCTATTGACAACGCCAAATTAATTTCTATAAAATTAAATGACTGGAAAGCCATCAACTAGTGCTAAGTTAACATCTTTCATCAACATCATCTAACATCAAAACCTACGTTATGTCAAAAAAAACTTACGTTATGTAAGAAAAAATAAGATCTAATGTCACTTTTTAAGATATGTAATACCCGTGACGTACACCAGATTACGCAGGTGGGTACATGCAAACTGGTTCGAACTCGGATACACAAGAGTAAATGACACGCAAACATAAAATGTTTGGTAAAATAGGTATGACAAACCATATATATTTTGAATCAGAAAAAATGGACTACAATTTTTCCTAAGAATATATAGGGTGTTCTATTTAAAAAAGTACAACTTTATTGGATAGCATTGTTTTGAGACAAAAAAAAATCACAAGAAAAACTTTATATTGGACCCTCTAACTTTTATACAGGGTGTCCGCAAAGTTGGGGTTTTCCTTTTCAGAAACAACTACCCTTGAAATAACAAAGGTAATGTGTAGTGAAACGAAGGCGACCAAGTAAAAAAAAAAATAAAGGAAAAAGTACTCACTCTCCAGTTGACGAGAAGGGCTAAGTACGACTCTGCCCGAAATCATACCGCTCCAACAGAAAACGAAATCAGCTGATGCGCTACCGAGCAGACCCAGAAACCACATTGATTGTCTTACACTTAATGGAAGGCAAGGAAGGCAAAATGTTGCGTCAAAAGTCTAGGTATTGCATCCCGTCCAATCGATTTGGGAGAATAAATGGTCCAATGAGCATACCGTTCACCATGCCAGCCCAAACATTCACCGAAAATGTTTGTTGAAAATGTGCCCGACGGACAGCGTGCGGATTTTCTACTGACCAAACATGAGTGTTGCGAAAGTTATTGACCACATTACGCGTGAACGTAGATTCGTCTGTCACCAATATGCACTTCAAAAAGTCCGGATTATTGTCATGTTGATGCAACAACCACTCACAAGACTGCACTCTTGCTGGAAAATCGTCAGGTTGAAGGGCTTGTACACGTTGGACATGAAACGGATACAGCCCCTCTTCACGCAGCGTTTGCCACACTTTAGTTTTTGATACTTGCACTTCTCTAGCCACGTCTCTAGTGCTTGTTGAGGGATTCTCGTCTACGCGATTACCTCTACACGCGTGACCGTAACCATCGGTTGAAGGTTGCATACTGACCTGACACACTGACCCCGACCCAGTTCTGTCGTTGGGTTGAGTCAGGGACCTTGTACCAGTCGGTGATGTCGCGGCTACAGGACGGTATTCAGATATTTTTGATGTTGCAGAGCCCTTTATCTCGGTTCCCTTAAGACATTGGTGTATATGGTACTAAGAAAAATTGCTTTTCAAGATCTACATGTCGTGTAAAGGAAAACCCCAACTTTGCGGACACCCTGTATACAACTTTTTCTTCTGAAAGGTCATATAAAAAAGTTAGGAGTCAATTTATAGCCAGGCACCCGGTACTTAGAAGGAAAAAAGTTGGGCACCAAAATGGAAGATAGTAACATAACACACCATACACCACTGCTGACTCACCGTTTTAGTATACGGCGGGATCGGCGCACACCAACACAACTTTGCAGACACAAAGACACGCTGCAATAAAAGCGACGTACGATGTATTTTGTTACTCTCTTTCATTTTATGAGGTTCCCGAGAATAACATTCACATGTGAAAAAGTTCACCGTAATAGTCCTCTGTGAGAGAATTGCTTTATTCAAACAGAACTGCTTTTCATTTTTTTATATTCTACGCATAATTCGTGAGCAATCAGGCACATTACGCATATTATTTAAACTGCATTTTTGTGCTTCTGAACGGAAACTAAGTTCACGTCAAAGCCATTAGTTTGAATAGAAAATTGAAAACCTGTTTTTGAAGATTGTAATATGTTGATGTTTATCAGATTTGACATCGCTTCATAATGATACTTTATACCGGGATGACATCACAAGGTTTATAATTACTTACAACTTACGCTTTTCTAAGGTAACTGATTAAAATGGTGGATCTCTCACGATAAATTGCTGCATACATAATTTTTTTAATAAAACTCAATCATTTGCATTTTTGTTCAAATTAGTCATAAAAGATATACCCATGTTGCTAAAAGCATAGTGAATATTTAGTTTTAGAATTTTCATTTACACCGTAATGAATCTAATATTTGAAAGTTATGATACATCCTCGTATTTTGGTAACTTTCAAATGAAATCGTATCTTGATCGATCCAAAATGTCACAAAGTACCTCTAAAGTCTGCTAAATAATTCTTAGTATTGATAACATTGTGACATATAACGGAATCATTCCCTCATATGCAATTTTATTATGTAAAACAGTATATCATAAAATAGTTACCGGATATCATCAATCCAACGATATCATAGAACGTATGCTCTTTCTATGTATAAGTTTTATCTGGAATAAAATTCTATAATACCGAGTAATGTTTATACAAGTAAAACAATATTGGTCTTAATCTCCTGAAAGTCTGTTTGGAATGTTGTTGGTGAGGTTTATGAATACTTACGTTCGTAACTAAAATATTATAGGATATTTACGAAGAAGTTTGAAAATCCCTGTATTGCAGGCAGAATTATTAAGAAGCACAAAAAAGGTAGACACCCCTATGTTCCCCGTATGTTTTTTAGGTTCCTGGCTACCTTGAGCATGATCTAAAAATTGAAACACATATCTAATCCAAACTTCATTTGTATCAAAGTTCTGGAGCTTGGAATCGAAGTGCGGAAGAATTAGTCAATAAGCATATTTGATTTTTGCCAGTTTTCACTTCCTAAAGTATACTCAAGCTACTACTTTTCTTAGCCGTACTTGTACAATCTTTTTAGCTCATATTTTAACCTGCGTTATCGATTACTCCGAAAGAGTAATTTTTTGAAGTACAGCCAACAATAGGTTAGCTGTTTGAAACACACTGCCCTTAGTTCATTCTAAAACTTATTCCAGAACGAGCATATAATATCTGTCAATTCGCATCTCTTGCTATCATCTGTCAATAAAAAAATTTGGCTGTCATTCCTTGTGGTGTCAAGAATTTTTGAGATTTCGGATGGTGAAGTTTTTAAAGATAAATCATTCATTATAAATATCTGCTAATACCACATCAAATATTTCAATGAAATTTGGCATACATGTATGTACTATGTATCAAGAGGCATTATTTGGTGTACTAATTTTTTTAATTTCCACCAATAGTGTTCGTAAGGAATTTCACATGGCTGTCTTGACAGACACTGAACGTACGCCAAATAAAAATTGTCCTTGAAATCCGCAGTAATTTTTAAGCAAAGTTGTTGAGCACAAAAAGCTATTACCCTTTGAAGTGAAAATCATAGGTCGGACTAAAAAAATGAGAGTGTTCAAATCTACTCATAAATAAATACAGATTTCAAAAAACTCGTTCCAATATGGACATTCAATTTTGTCAAAAGAGCATCAAACAAGCACCAGTGCAACACCAAAATTAGTATCGCCAAAATAAAGCCCTATAAGGCACTTACGTTGAAATTACTAAGTAAACTCCAAACTCTCTAACGGCTTTTTTCTTCCAGGAACGTTTCTTATTCTCGATGAACCCCCGCGAGCAGTCGACACGTCTGCTTTGCTTCCACGTGTACGCCACTGACTTCCTGTCGCACACCCTCATCGGCGAGGGCGAAATCCGGCTAGCTGACGTCAGCCTCCGGCAGCCCGTCACAACTTGGGTCACGCTCACCGACACCGGACAGGTAGGTACCTCCAACCGCCATCATTCACACATTTTATTACTCTTTTTCTCGTCAGAACCAGAACGATTTCCATGAATTTCTATAGGCCAGGAAATCGGTAATTTTTTCCTACAATATGTACAACAGTAAACATTTTTTTGTGGTATCGTTAGAATATTGCTTTCTTAAGATAGAGCTGGGTCGTTTGCGTAGAAACGAATATCTTGAAAATATCAAACCTGCGTAAAATGTAAGAGAATAAATTTGGTAGGAAACTAATATCTCTATCATTTTGCGTCCATAAAAAGGACTAAAGTCCATGTTATGACATTTCCGCTCAAAATGGCTAAGCTAACAATTGAGTATAAAGACTACTATTTTTTGTGTAGAATGAAATTTGTTACGAAAAAGATCTCTCATATTTTTTGATAGCAAGATTGATGGTTCTTAAAGTATATGGAGGAAAAGCTAAAATTCCGCATTGAAACAGTCGCGCAGCATGCTCTTCATGCTACATACATTGTCCATGTCTCAGCATACAACATGTTTTCAGGTGCTGGAGATTATTCCATATATCATTATCTATGATCAAGAATACCATCTGGAGTGAATATATTTTTACTGCCACGTGTAGGTATGGAAATGCAATAATTTATGATGTCTTCATCAGGAATATCTTCCATCAGTCTGTCTACTGGTTGTCTTACCACTGCATAACCTCAGTAACCGTTGTAATTATTTTAATGAAAAGGGAGTGACGACATAAACCATTTTCTACTACATCTCTCCTTTCATTAATATAACTGCAACGATTACTGAAAGCACGCAGTGACAAAAACGCTAATAGAGAGGCCGCTGGAGGTGGGTGAATTTATTTTCGTAACAAAAACATCACAAATCAACAAAAAACGTTACATTTCCACGTGGTGGTAAAAAAATTGATTCAGTTTAAAATGGCATTTTTAATCATAGATAATGATTACGAAGCTATCATCATGTAGTAGTAGTAGTAGTAGAAAGATTTATTTAGCACATTTGGCTACAGAACAATTGTAAACAACTTAGAACTAGTAAATTCAAGCCATATGGTGTATGATGTAAATGCTGGGCAACCTATAATTGTAGATTTAACAAGTGATTTCTCAATTTTACTTTAAATTTTGTCAAAGTTTTCTGGTCTTTTATCTCAGAGTATAATTTATTATATTCAATCAACCCTTGATTGAATACAGATTTGTAGCATGTTATACTTTTTGGTCATTAAATGGAAGTCATCTTTATTTCTGGTATTATGTAAATGATGGTCGACATTTGATGATGTTAAATTAGTTAGACTTGATGGAAATATATTATTTTTTACTTTATAAATGAATATCATTACAAGATATTTGATAAAATTTTTTACATTGAGCCATTTTAATTTGCTAAGCATTTGCCTAATTGGAGTATATTTATCTTTATTTAGTATTATTCTCATGCACTTATTTTGTAAAATTTGCAGTCTTTCAAAAATGGAATTATTTGCTAAATATAGAATAGTCGAACAGTACAAGAAATTTGGAAGAATGATGGTATTATAGATAATTTTTCTGCTATATGAACTCAGACATCCAGAAACTCTCGATAAATATCCCACTTTACTACTAATCTTATTTATAACTTTTTCATAATGAATATCAAAAATTAATCGAGAGTCAACAAAAACTCCCAGGTATTTAAAATTTTCTACGAATTCAATATCTTCTTCATCAATATTCGGTTGAACATTTGTACATTGTTTTTTCCGATTAACAAGGCTTTCGTTTTACTTGCATTTAATTTCAGTCTGTTAGATGCTAACCATTTTGAGACAAGCTTCAAGTCTTCATTTATATAAAAGATACCAGACTGAATATTTTTAGTACTTATATAAATCATAGTGTCATCGGCGAAAATTTTAATTTTGCATTTTTTGACTATGGCAGGTAAATCATTTATGTATAAAATAAAAAGAAGTGGTCCCAGGATACTGCCCTGTGGAACACCCAAAATATTTTCAATTTTTGATGAAATAGTGTCATTAACTTTTGTAACTTGCATCCTTTTAGACAAATAATTTCTAAACCAATCTAAAACACTTCCTGTTATACCATATGCCTTCAATTTACCTAACAAAATATCTCTATCAATCGTTTCAAATGCTCTCTTCAAATCCAAAAATACTGCTATGACAACTTCTTCCGAGTCTATGGCTCTTCTCCAATTCTCAGTTACCAACTGGAAAGCTGTTTCTGTGGAATATTTTTTTCGAAAGCCTGCTTGCGCCTCCACTAAAATTTTGTTTTCTTCTATAAACTGCATTAATTGGTCATGCACTATGGACTCTAATAATTTTTCAATGTCTGGTAACACATTTACTGGTCTCATATCGGTGCATCTTTTAGAATTTTTTATTTTGGGAACTGGTGTTATTGTAGAGCATTTCAAATTTTCAGGGAAAGAACTGCTTCTCAGTGAACAATTGATCCAATTTAATACAGGATATCCCAAAATTTCGAAACAGTTGGAATAACATGTGGAATAACGTTGCATGCAGTAACGTAGATAACATGCGTAGCATGCGGAGTATGCCGGGCGACTGTCTTGATACGAATTTTCAATTTCCCTACTTCAAGCATAATCAATATGTCGAAAAAAGTAAATGTTATTTTTATAGCAAATTTTATTCTCGACCAAAAAGATATTACTGTTATATATTCTTAGATTCTTAGTTTAGCCATTATAGGCGTAAATATCACTACACCATTACATTTACATTACATCTATCTCTTGATTTTTTAAAAGCATGATAAAAAATTTAATTCCCTACAAAACTGTTTCCACCACCTTTATACATATTTTGTATGACGGCAATTTGAACACATCATCAAGAAGCAATAATCTAACAATTCTATCAAAAAATTCACTGTTGCAAGATCTAAAAATATTTTAATCAACTGTTCCGAAAGGATCCCCAGTCGAGTTTCGGCCAACTAAGATGCTTTCTGTCAACTCGCGATTCCTTATGTTAAATTGCAATTCCTTAGAGGGGTCCATTAATTGCGTGAGGTATTCAGGGGGAAGGGGGTAGAATCGAATCTCAGCCATCCCCAAATGTTATTTTTTATACATGAAACAGTATAGAATTGCTACAAAATAAGGTTAAATTAAAAATATTTTTTAGATTTTCTTAAAAATCTGAAACAATAATATTTACCGCGATTATCCGAACTCCTCATAACAGTTAATTAGAATAATTCTCTTACTATTTTTAGAATAAAATGTTTTATTATTCAATTAAAGCACTGAGACTTTTAGACTTTAGTCATATATTTATATGCTCAAAGCGCTAACTGTAACGTTTTTTTTTAATGGTGGAAGTGCGTATACTGAAAGGTGGAGGTTATACTTAGCACATTCACCATATTTAAATAAAAATAGACCAAGTGCTTACAGGGTGACTCAAATTCGATCTTCGGACAAATTCCTTTATCAACCTCACAGATTTCTACATATTTTTCCTCCCAGATCCAAACTGGTTTTTATCAAATGTTCTGTGAAGTTTCCAATCCACACCGCAAATGTTTTTTCCGTCTCAAAAGGCGAATCTTAGTATCTTAAACACCCTTCTGCGTGTTATAGAAAAAGGTTTGAATTTAGACACGGATTTCGTGAGGTAGGATTTGACATCGCAACTCATACCTTAATAGCATTTCATCCAATACGCTTTTCTTCAAGAGAAATTGACCAATGAAGAGCGTCATAATGATTTGATTACATCTAAAGTACTGTTTTTTCGTTGTAATCAGTCACATAATCCTCTGAAGAGAAGAAAAAACGAAGTACTGTGAAATATGTTGTCTGAATGAGAGTTATACCTTCAAAATGATAAAAGCAGAAATTTTCTATATTTATAGCGCCGAGTTCACATGATTTCACTATTTTGATGCTATATATGTATATAGGGAAAACCAAATTTGTCTGACGGCTTGAGTTTAGTGTGTACGAAACAGAAGCGTGTATCAACACATGTTAAAAAGAGGTAGAAGCTGGCTAAAGAGTGAAGGTCATCACCACATTTCCTAGCAACGGTGACGTAGAAGGTCGTGTAATCTGCCGCGTTGCCAATATGTTACACCAGAAAATGTTCGCACATTCGCACGAAAGATGGAGGTCTGTTTACATTTAATTTAATATTTTGTTTTCATTTTTATTAGAAGTATTTATTTCAATTTAGATGCGACTTAGTGTTTTAATTTATTTTAGAATTATCTTTGATTTCCACCGATAGTGATAAAGTCAACACATCCTGAGTTATTCTTACATTTTGCGACAGCGCTACTGTCGAAAAATGTAACAAATAACGATACGCAATTCAAAATTATCACTGCCTGCATGTACGCAGCTGAAGCCATTTAGGAGCTGGACAACACTCCCCTACGAGCGCTAGATGGGTCCTGACCAAAATCGGTCAACTATGATCCTGGAGGTGGAAACCACGCCTTGGAATGTACAAGATGCGAACCAATGATGCAATGTTGCGGAATTTTCGGCGATCCCGACCATTCATTTCGACCTAAAATGGAGCGACCAATCGGGAACACAATTCACAGTTCAAAAATGTGTACGCTCAAGAAAAAAAATTATTTGGACGTAAAGAATAAACTAACGCATTTTCAATAAGCGTCTTAATTCAAGGAACTGGAGTAACATATTGGCAACGCAGCAGAGTGCCGCTTCAGCGTTGATAGGCAACTCGGTGATGAGCTTCGCTATCTAGGCGGCTTCTACCTCTTTCTAACGTATGTATTTATACACACTTCTCTCTCGTATACATTGAACTCAAGCCCTTAGACAAATTTGGTTTTCAGGGTATGTTGTGACTACGTTGTAACATTGGCCAACTGATGAAGTGATCCAGCATTTCCTAAAATGGTCGCTTTTCACGAGTTATATTTGTATTATCCGTTGGCCAGATCATGGTGTGCGTGTATCAGATCAAT